CAAACCGGGCCAGCAGGTGCGGGGTAGGAGAAAGGAATAGTTGGAGTGGGCATCTGCATCGCCCCCACTGTTGGCAATGGCATGGCAAAACCTCCACCACCACCACCACCTCCTCCTCCTCTCTTTTTCTCATCTGAGAATTCAACATCTATAAGGTCTGCCTCTATACCAGTGGGAACCTCGGCCTGAAGAGAAAACAAAATGACATGAACCGACTAGTTATATATGGACAGGTTTAATATTTCTACATAGAGAACAGTATGAATACCCATCAAAGAATGACAAATGTATTATATAAATGTTAAAGACTACTACAGACAAAAAAAAAAAAAAGCATGTTTACAATGTCCACAATCATGACTTTCCATTCATTCATAATTGGGGACACAGTAAACATACCATGTCCTCAATTATTTACAAACACTCAGCGATCACTGATCATTGAGTGCTTGTACCGCTCTCCATCCGGACTCGCTGTCACAGGAGGCTGAACGAGCAAGTACAGGGAAGAGAGCTTGATCTCCTCTGACAGTTGACTCCTCCCCCATTCCACAGGCCCGGCCTCCTGTGACAGCTGACTCCACCCCCACACCGACGTTCTCCTGATCTGTCACAAGAGGCTGAGCGGGGCGGTGCGTGAGGAGAGCTTGGCCTCTTGTGACATGCCGGCCGCTCACATTGCTCTCCTCTCCCCCACAGCTCGGCCACCTGTGAGTTTCTCTCCTCCACGCTGACCGACAGTCACTGCTCTCTGCAGAGAGATAATCGGGAAGTGAGTGAGCAATGGTATGTGTTCGCTCACATCCCGATCAATAGAGTCGACTTTCAATGTCACACGTCTGCTCTAACTAGGAGTGTAAATCACTCGCCTCATAGTTCTCCTTTAACTGTATGTGTGTTAGCCATTAATTAAATTACAGCTTATGAACACTGTCTGGGTCCCCACTGGAGATTTTTCCCTTACTACCTACCCTGGTGACAGATACTTACTTCAAGAGAACGAGAAGGGGAATCTCCTCACTGTGGAACAGAAGGTGTAACTGGAGTAACACTTTAAAAGTACACTTAACAGTAGAAGGATCTTCACCTACCATTACAACAGAATCCGGCTCATATGCAACATTGTAATTCTTGGCGATCTCAATCAGGTATCTCTCCACAAGTATTTTCGGTGGAGCCTCTACACTTAGCTTGTGCATCAGCTAAGGGGGGTAAAAAAGGTCACGGTTATCTTCCAACTATTGGAGATCCATCGTTATCATGAAATGAGACAACATATGCATAAAGGCTTCTTGCCATACCCGGTCATTGACGGTTCCAATCTGGTTTGTTCTGCACAGCTTGCCGTACTCTTTACTGTACTTGGCGCATAGCTGATCAGCAACCTGTGGGAAGGAGGGAATATCACCAATCAGACAAGGAAACTCCATCCTCCGTAGTAATGTCCAAAGTTCTGGAGCATTTTAAGGGAGGTGGAAAAAAATAGTTTTGCAAAAAAAAAAGTAGGGATGCACCGATACATCGGCCGCCAAAACTGGTATAATGGCGAAAGTGCCATTTTCTGGCCGATACAGCGGAGCATCCGTTTTTTCTCTCCTCCCCGCTGGGGGCGCTGCTCTGTGTCCCATCGGGAGGAGAGAAACTGTCACAGGCGAAAAGCATTGCAGGAGGACAGCGCTGTGAGCGGCCGGCGTCTCTCCTCCCCGCACTGCTCAGCCTTCTGTCACAGATCAGAGGAGAGCGGTGTGGGCGGAGACAGCCATCGCTGTCACAGGAGGCTGAGCTCTCCTCCCTACACCGCTCGTTCAGCCTTCTGTGACAGCGAGTCAGGATGGAGAGCGGTGTGGGGGCGGAGACAGCCAGCACTGTGACAGGAGGCTGAGCTCTCCTCCCGCACCACTTGTTTAGCTTCCTGTGACAGCTGTCAGGATGGAGAGTGGTCATGTGTTTGCACATAATTGGAGGACATAGTATGGTTACTATATCTTAAACTATGAATGAATGGGAAGTGATCTACATCACCTCCTGTTCATTCATGATTGTGGTTATAGTAACCATACTCTGTCCTCATGTTAGGGATGTACAGGAACACTCAGTATAGAGGATTCCTGGTCATTGATAACAGGGCTGCAGAAAAAGAGATTGAGGACTCAGAGTCCCCAATCTCTTTTGCTACTTTAAAAGAGAAATATCAGGGGTCTGTTTAGACCCCCAATATTTCCCCAAAGCCCCTAAAAGTTAAAAAAATATATATTTAACACAAAAAAATGGAATATAAATATAAAAACATTAAGTTTTAAAAAATGAAATTAAAAATGTGAAAAAAAGTTAAAATAAAAAACATTTTCGGTCTAACTTTTTTTTTTACATTTCGGTTTTGTTTTTGACATTTTCATTTCGGTGAAACTCTAAAAATAAAGTCAACTTTTTTTATTGTAGGTTGAAGGACATCTGCCCTGTGAAAACATGTAGGTGGCATTTTTTTTATGGCCATAGGTGCTTTATGATCAAAACATACTAAATAGCTGAAACAGCAGCTGAAAGCTTCTCTTTTAGGCCTCATTCACACTGCCGCGGATATACGCGCATATGCAAATAAATAGCTCTATACACATAGTTGCGTATGGAGCCGTATATTTGCATAGCGTAAAAACAGAATGGTACCAAGATGCGTCTGTATTTTACTTACGCGTGTACGCGCATATACGCTCGTTTGCGCGCTTATACACACGTACACTTCATTGAAATTTCTATCACGCATTATGCATTCTGGGATTGCATGTAGTGCACACATATAAGCGCTTATATGCGTATACGCACGTACATATGCGCATGTACGCGTATATACGCAACATATAATTTTTCTCTTGCGTTGTGTGTGAATGAGGCCTTATTCTCCTGCATCAAGAGTGTGTATCATGCAATAAATCAGCCTTTATTTAATTGTCCATTGTAATGGAATATATTCCAGCAGAGTAGATGACCCCTTTAACTCACTGTCTTCAGCTCAGAAACTTCAGTTTGTAGACGTGGAGCCGCCCAGATAAGGGTGGAGACCGCTTCAGACAGGCCAGGGTCCAGCTCTCTGTAATGGAAAGAAAGAGGATCAGAATCACTGCACCCCAGCAATGGCATAGTGTGTGACCCATAAAGCAGAATGTCAAATTTTACTTCATGGACTGAATTAACCCAAATCGGGCCAGCAGAAGGTCGCAGTACAACTCCAGGATCTCCATAGCTTCCACCAGGTAATCCTCCCGGATAATGTGCTCTACGCGGATCCTCGCTCGTTCATCCTTCCCAGTAGACAAGTAATCGGCAATCTCCTTCCTCGCTTTCTGTGCCAGTTCAGCTGCAGGGACATAGAAAAAATAAAATCAGTAAATCAGGGAAGTAAAAAAAAAAAAATAAAGCATGAGATTCTCCCCCCTACATTCTACGAGTACGAAGTATCATGGCAAGAGCTACTACATTAACTACATGTGACCTTTTACAGCCAATGAGGTGGCTGCAGTCGAATGCCAACATACACCAGTACTATTAGAAGCAGTAAAGCATGCTGTAGCAGAAAGCAGGTTGTTGGTGACAGCACCAAATGTGGAATCTGCAGAAACCAGCTTTCATTAGCGTTAGACCCTGTTCACACCGGGGCGGTTCGGCTGCGTGGATTCGCCGACATGAACGATCCTATACATTGCTATGGGAACCGTTCACGCGACCGCGCGATCCGAACCACCCCCCGCCCGAACTGTTCCCTGTTTCCATACCGCGCTGATCATCAAGGTTTTTGGTGTTTTCAAATTGCGTTTCAGCGCTGAAACGCAATATAAACCTCCCCAAACCTTCCTTTTGAGATCAGCGCGGTAACCGCGCTGATCCGCAACCGCCCTGGTGGGAATGGGCTCTTAAGCTGGCATTACTCTGCGAGGGCCCTGCCTGCACAAGTCCTTTCCACAAAAGTCAAGTTTTCAATCTGCTTTTGATGAAGGAGCTGGGCCGAAAACTGCGTGCTGAACAGGTAAAGAGATTGAGTACACAGAGCCCTCAATCTTTTTTTCTGCAGCCCCTGTTATCAATGAAAAGGAATCCTCTATACTGAGTGTTCCTGTTCATTCATAACATGAGGACAGAGTATGTTTACTATGTCCACAATCACAAATGAACAGGAGGTGATGTAGATCACTTCCCATTCATTCATCATTGAGGATATAGTAACCATACTCTGTCCTTAATTATGTACAAACACTCAGCGATCACTGATCATTGAGTGTTTGTACCGCTCTCCTCTCTGACACGCTGTCATAGGAGGCTGAGCGAGCAGAGGTCAGCCTCCTGTGACAGCACTGCAAGCTGTCTCAGCCCACACCGCTCTCCTGAAAGTGCCATTTTCGGCCGATATGTTTCCTAAATAGGACCAATGGTGGAAGGACGACTTACTCTTCTTCTTCTCCAGAAGCTTAAGCCGGTTTATGACAAGTCGTAGATTCACACGAAGCCGCTCAGATTTGAACCCAGAGCCCAACATGGTGTCCGATCACTGCCAAGAGAGATGAAGATTAAAAGGTGAAATAGTTTAATGATGCAGAAATGCAAATGATGCCCTTTACATATAGATAAAAATACACACACACACACACACACACACACACACACACACACGATATGTTCCTTCATCTCCTGTATTAGAAAGTGGGCTTCAATGTAAAGTACAGCATAGTCCCAACTCTGCAGCCTGCTGCATGTCCTCCTGGACTAGCCCCTCTCTCCTTCCATTAAATTATTGCTGTAAACGGTGCCAGTCATGAGGCAGAAGAATTGGACTTCACAGGCTTATGAGTGGAGTGGAGAATCCTTGCCCTGGGCAATTAAGCTACTCATACATAGAGAAAATTTAAAAAGGCTCCTGATGAACTATCGGAAATTTGAGCCATGGGTGGCCCTGTCAGCACCCCTCCGCTGACAGGGCCACCACAAACCAACTTTTACCAAAGGACCAGTTACGAAAATGTTCTGCCGAACAGTGCCCATGTCCAATGAAATGCCGGCATTGTCCAGTTATGGAACAGAGGCTGTGGAATACAATAGCTGTGTGTGATATTCGTTCATCCATGCCCTTTAGTGTGGATGGAGAAATCTGTTTGACTTTTTTCTGTTGAGCCCATGGGATAAACAAAACAAATCTATCAGTGTATGGCCAGCCTTACAGACTCCAAGAAATGGAGTTCCAGTGCATCAGCTGTGGATTTATAAAAATAAAAAAAAAAGGAGGGGGGCTGGTATACTTCCATTCCAGGATGACACCAAAAGACCCAGGAAAGTATGCGGTGTGTCGTCCCCCCAGCTGGAATCTACCTTTTGAGGTCCTCTACGGTCGTTGTCAATGGAGCTGGCTCCTAAAAATTAAATCTGCCTCCTTCCTGAATATTAATTTGTTCAGTCCTGATAAGAGATTATCTATCTATCTATCTATCTATCTGGACTGATGATATATATTGTTTTGTTAGGCTAAAACTTTGTTTCCAATCTTTGTTTCCAATCTTTTAAATAAAATGTACATTATTTTATTTTAAAATGATTATTTTATTTTTTTACTTTTGGGGCTCTAGGGATATATGAGGGGTCTAAACAAATATTTCCCTTTTAAAATAGAAAATGAGATTGAGGACACAGAGTCCTAAATCTTTTTCTGCAGCCCCTGTTATGAATGAACAGATAACCTCTATACTAAGTGCTCCTGTCCATGCATAAACTGTGCATATAGTATAAGTTACTATGTCCACAATCATGAAAGAACAGGAAGTGATGTAAAGTGATGTATAACTGGGGACACAATAAGCTTACTATATCCTCACTGAGCGTTTGTACTCCGCCCTCCATCCTGACTGCTCCGCCTGTCACAGGAGGCCGAGCTCTCCTCCTGCACCACCCCGCTCAGCCTCCTGAGAAGCTTCTCTCCTCCCCGCTGGTTGTCGACAGCTGGATCCGCTCGCGTTCCCCATGATCCCCGCTGCCTCTGTTGACACAGGCGGGGGAGAGCAGCAGGGCCGGTACCCAGTGTGGAGGAGGGATAAAACAAGATGGCATTTTGCCCATATTACCATTTTTTGGCGGGCAAAATTTCTGTCTCTCTCATATTATATACACAGAGATCGAGATCTGGCTTGATGTTTAAATACAGAGAATATTAATGAATCTGAGCTGACCTTTGGTCCACCCATAAATCCATTACAGTGACCAAACACAATACAAGTCACCTACCAGGAGACCACGAGCAGGAAGCATGTACAATATATTAATAGATCACCATGAAATCAGACATGAGAGAAAGAAGAGGAGGAGGAGAAAGAAGAGACAGAGGAGGAGGAGGAGAAAGAAGAGACAGAGGAGGAGGAGGAGAAAGAAGAGACAGAGGAGGAGGAGGAGAAAGAAGAGACAGAGGAGGAGGAGGAGAAAGAAGAGACAGAGGAGGAGGAGGAGAAAGGAGGGGCAGAGGAGGCGAAAGAAGAGACAGAGGAGGAGGAGAAAGAAGAGACAGAGGAGGAGGAGAAAGAAGGAGGAGAAAGGAGGAGGAGAAAGGAGGAGGAGGAGGAGAAAGAAGAGACAGGGAGGAGAGACAGGGAGGAGAGACAGGGAGGAGAGACAGGGAGGAGAGACAGGGAGGAGAGACAGGGAGGAGAGACAGGGAGGAGAGAGAAAAGGAATTCTCCACAGCAGTGCAAGAAATAGGGATTGGAAACATGTATGTGATGCCCCATTGTAATAAACATCACATGAGTTGTTTGAAGTAATAATACAATTGTTGAGGTGTTCTTATGTTAAAGCTCAAGAGCTGACAATCCATCCAATAGTGACTACCCCCCGGCCTTGGTCTAGAAAGCATCAAACCCAGAGCACTCTTTTATGCAAATAGTGAGCTCACCTAGGAAGTCAGAACTTGTTTGACTTCCTCCACCCTCTCTGCCAACTTCCTGCATGAATTCCACACATAATTCAGCACACCAACCCTCAGGCAGTCCACTAGAGGAGCCTGCTATTGGCTGGAAGTTGCCATTAGAGAGAACTTTCCTCACTTCCTGTGTGATCACTGAGACAGAAAGCGTGAAACCTTTCCAATGTAGTCACAGACAGTTCCTCTCTCAGGTTTCTATTGCCATCTGCAGCCCTGGATTCCCCCCCCCCCCCCC